CATAGCTTGTTGCGTGTACCCCGAACCCACCACCCAAGCGTGCCGTCCAGTCCAACAGCTAATTTTGCCTCCGCCTTTCGCCGGACAGGAATGCGGAGGGTTTTACGTGCCGCACAATGCTGCGACACGGCCGCCTCGGGTCTGGGTTGAGCCTCGTTGGCCAGTTGCCAGCTGGCCTTTCCGTTTCAGTCGGGTCAAACAATGCGCCCACTCTGGGACTCGTACCCAGTGCCGCTGGATTACGAGTCCAGCATCTTTCCCCAAGACCACGGAGGCGGCAAACCACATATTTAATTTAATATTAATATTTTAATTTAAACGTAACAATTTAACCCTTAATATTAAACGTAGCAAATTTAACACAAGAAATGAAATGCCCTATTACCAACTAGTTATAGCCATGCCGTTTGGTATTTCGCTTTGATGATGTACTTACTTTTTAAAGCAGGTAAATGTTTTCCTAGTTTATTACACTGAAGAGTCCAGGGAGGGGTGGGAAGGGGGGGGGGGGGCTTAAGGGACAAATGACTCCCAAATCCGTTCAACGTTCACGCTGGTGTTTTTTTTACAGATGAGCTACTTCGCCAGACGGAAAATGGTTCGAAATTGCAAGAGAAAAACCGATCGGCAATCCTGGAAGCAGGATACGATGGCAAAGGCCATCAAAGCAGTCAAGGTGGGAAAAATGTCCACCAAACAAGCGGCACGCCGCTTTCTGGTCCCGAAGTCGACTCCCGACAGACGGCTGAAAAAGGCACGGCCAATGTCAATAACAGAGGCCACAGAGAAGGTCCTGGGTCGACACAAGCTGTTTTCACGGAAGCTCAGGAGCGAAATTTGGTACAGCACATAATGGAGCTCTGAAACCGGATGTTCGCAATAACGCTGACTGACCTCAAGAAGCTCGCATATGAGTTCGCATACAAAAACAAAATCACTTACCCATTCAGCACGATGACGAAACTGACAGGGGAGGCGTGGATACGGTGCTTCCGCAAGAGGAACTCCACGGTCTCTCTAAGGACATGAGGGGCCACAAGCGTTGCTCCCGCCGCGGCGTTCAACTCAGTCAATGTCAACGTGTTTTTCGAAAACCCTGAGTCGCAGATGGATTCTGCCCATTTCGTTCCCACATGCATTTGCAACATGGATGAAACGGGATTCAACATGGTCGCAGCAAAACAAGAGAAGGCGCTGGCGAGGAAAGGGTGCAAGCAGGTCGGCCAACTGACACCTGCGGAATGAGGCACGCTGGTTACCGGGGTGATGTGTATCAATGCTGCGGGGAGCCACACACCTCCAGGTGTGATATTCCCAAGAAAGAGGGCCAACCAGCAGTTGGAGAAGGGTCTTCCCCCAGGTAGCCTGGTGCTGTACCATGAGCCTGGTTGGATGCAGAAGGGGCTGTTCGTGAAATGGCTTGACCATTTCATACAGCACGCGAAGCCCTCGAAACAGGACCCATTCCTCCGCACACCTCACACCGCCTTCAACCACTGGACCGGACGTTCAGGCTTCCCGTCAGCACATTCTTCTTCCGAGGTCAGAGAACGTGGCTCCGAAACAACCCTGGTAAAGTCATCACACTGTATAAGATGGGGTGCTGATCGGGTCAGCCTACGTGCAGGCGGCAACAGCGAAGACGGCGTTGAAGGGCTTCGAAGTCGCGGGGATCTTTCCCACAAACCGCTATGTGTTTGGCGAAGAAGACTTCGCAGCAGCAGAAACAACGAACATCCTGCTGGCCGGCACCGCAGACGCACAAGTGGGTCTCAACTCAGCAGCAGCTCCTCTACCCATGCCTGGGCCCTCTGACGTTGATGTCCCGGTGAGCACGAACGTTCGGGAGTCCTCGGAAACTGTCGCCAGAGACGCAACGCAGGCTGGAATATCGTGGCAGGGAAGCTCGACTAATGCCGAAACTCCGGCGAAGTTGCTCACCATTGGGACTCTGTCAGATGATTTCTCAAGCTCTAGCGGTGACAAAGATTGCGTTCTAGAAGCGTCATGCTCAGCTGGACCGAGCCATGCTTTCCAAGGTCAAAGTGACTCAACCGCAAGCTCGTATGTGTCTCCCCGCGAAATTATCCCTGTGCCAAAAGTGCGCTCAAGGGAGAAGAGAGGTAAAGGACGAAGGAAAGTGAAACATGTGTCTTGACTGGCACATCGTACAAGGAGGAACTCGGGAAGAGACTCAAAGGAAACTAAGGTAGACAGGGAGGAAAGAAAAATGACGACTAAAGTCAATCTAAAGGAAGAAAAAGTAAGGGCGTAGAAATTCAGAAACCGCAGCGCAAACAAAAGAAGCGTAGGCCGCGAAAGCTTACCTATGAGGAGTCCTCGGACGAAGAAAATGTAGCTTGTCCTTACTGCGGGTCCTTCTTCTCCATGTCCGAATCGAGCGAGTCTTGGTCGCGATGTGCTCTCTGCGATAAATGGGCGCACGATGCCTGTGCAGGGATTGATGAAGAGGACGAGTGCTTGTTCGTGTGCGAACTGTGCCGGGATGACTAGGCAGGCTAATGTCCTTTCTAGTCTCGCCATTGGTCGCATCTGCTGACGGGTCCACTAGGCTGTTCTCTTTTCGTGCTTTGCGTTCACAGTGACTAAGATGTGGATTGATGAGAAGAACGAGTGAGTGTTCCTGAGCGAACTTTGCTCGATGACTTGTGTGTTTGAGAATCGATCGTTGTCGCCTCATTGTGTAACCACCAGGCTGTGTTCCTCTGGTTCTGTGCAGCAGCATGCTAAGCCATGCAGCAATGGCTGTCGCTTCCTACCAAGCTGTAACACACATTTGCTGGCCATTATAACTTTTATTCGTGAGATCATACTGAATACACGAGGATGGAGTGGGATGGTTTAAACAACATATGAGAGCCCAAACTTAGGAAATATAGCTGTTGGATGTCCAGATGAATACCTACTCACCGAGCAATGCATTTATTGATGCGTTTTCATTAAAAAATGATAACTTTGAAAATACTTAATCCGCTTATTCAGTCTCATTGCTTGTCCGTTTTGTCCCTAATGCTACTTCGTTTTGCTCCAAGACAGGGGCAAAATGAGAAAAAACATTGCCTGATATTTAGGAAGATCACACTTTAACATGAAGAGATACCAAACCATCGCTTTTATAAGAGATAGAGTGATAGAGATAGATAGATAGAGTGTGTGTGTGTGTGTGTGTGTGTGTGTGTGTGTGCGTGCGTGCGTGCGTGCGTGCGTGCGTGCGTGCGTGCGTGCGTGCGTGCGTGCGTGCGTGCGTGAGTGCGTGCGTGCGTGCGTGCGTGCGTGCGTGCGTGCGTGCGTGCGTGCGTGCGTGCGTGCGTGCGTGCGTGCGTGCGTGCGTGTGTGTGTGTGTGTGTGTGTGTGTGTGTGTGTGTGTGCATACATTCAACTAAGATGCATATAATTTTCCCACACAATCAACATGCAAGTATAATGCCAGTTTGATAGGATCACCACAACCAGGTAACCATCTACTAAAATACAGCCTTTTTACACATGCATATGCACATGCTAACCAGATCAGTGTTTAATACAAGCTGAACTGTAAATCAATTCATGAGTCAATCACTTTGGGGTGAGCTATAAGTTGTATCTCTTCACTGGAAAGTGCTGCTTTGAGTCATGACCTGAATCACACTTGTCAGACATTTCATGAGCTGAAACCTGAGGCAATCATTTCTAACAATATTGCATCAGTGAGTCATGTGGCTGAGCTTAAATTGGCAGCATGAGGGCATACATTGTGTTCTAGGCAAATTAACAGACAGTATCAGAGCATCAAAATGAATAGCATGCAGTGTTAGCTTTAGTTGTTAGTGCATTGTTAGCAGCATCAGCATAGAGCTTTTTACAATATCATGAGTTTGTTATTGTTATTTCTAGGCACCAAACACCATGTTGTTGATCCTGGAATCTCCCAAATCTTAGCTGAGAACTATATGCTTTTATAACCTACATGAGTTATACATCAAATAATTCAATGCATGCACTGCATTTGAACTGAGCCAAATGAAAAATGGAACAGGAATGAATCATGAACTGAATCAGATCCTGAGCTCTGTGAGCCATTCCTTAGCTGGCTCAACACACTTGGGTCAAAACCCATGCCTAATGCAAACCACCACAGCCCAAGAACCATATTCCATCCTCCACGCTACCTGGAAGGCAACATACCCCAAGGCCTGCACGCCAGGATATACCGATATCCTACTCATCCGGTACAAAATGTTGTTCTGTTAATCAGGTTTCTCCTAGATTTTCTCCTGGAGTGTTTCTCCGGGCACCTTCCCTACCCGCTTCCACACGCTCAGCATTGACCAACAACCGACATACCTTGCCACATCCCAAGAGCAACTCGGAATCAAATGAGAATTGGGATCCCAAATTTGCGAACGTTTCCCACTCCCATCGAACGAAAAGAAATTCACGAGGTTCACCTCTAAAAAGCCTCACTTTCTCTGTTGAGCATTGGGTTGCCTGGCTACGTTGTCCACGATCTATGTGTGCTGCGGGCCGCCGGCTTTGATACGAATCGATACTAGACACCGTTCCCTCTTAATAGAGATTTGCACCAAGTATGCTCGAGGTGTTGAAACGAATGGCCGCCAGCTGTCAATATCAGAGACGCACTCTGTACGGTTCCGGCGGCTAGGGACCTCCAGCGAACGGCACGGCAGGCGGTGGCGGCCCATTGTCTTCCTCCGCCATCTCCCATTTTCATACAACAGCTGATTACAAACAACATTTTTGTTTGGATGAAATGGGATTTAAACACCTTAGAAGTCTAAAAATGTAACCAATTCCGTTTTCTTGTTATCACTTCGATCAAAAAAATAAATTTCAAGGTAAGCTTTCCTGTTTTATCGTGTTTATGGTTGTGGTCGAACTATTTTATCAAGCAGAATGTTGTGACCAGCTGGCTAAAAGCTCCGCTATATGCGCGACAATTTTAGGTTGAAGGATTCCCTGTATTGCGACCGAGAGCAGATCACTGACTCCGAGAAGCGTCTGGTTATGGGTAGGAAATGGTGGATGGTTGAAGACGTATGGTTGGGACTGTGTTATTGGGGTTTATGCCCCTAGCTAGTATTTTGGCGAAGTGATGGGGAAATCGCGAGATACATCCACGTCTTAGATGCACGGGTGCCTAAGATACGGATTAGTGTGTAATATGAGACCGCATGAGACCTTGACAAGTGAAACTTCTTTGTGAGCGTGGTTTCAAGGTCCCGTGCATCTCCCAGCACCTGATCTAAAGGTTTTTATATGACCAGATCAGTACGTTGTGAGGCATTAAGCCTTTACATGGCTAGTCTAGTCCAAGCTGTTATCTCACTTGTGTGACATCAGAGTACTATGATGAAAGACAACAGTAGTGAAGCCATGAAGTCCGATGGAAATCCAGTTGCTATATGGGAGGCAAAATTCAAGAAGGACACACTGGTTGGTAGAGACTTCAGGTAAGGCTACCTCATTTCTGTAATGCAAAAAGGACATGTTTGCATGGTGAATGAAGGCCTGGGGTGTGGGATGCAGACAAAGGTATTAGCTTACTGCAAAGTACTGAGGCGGTCATTGAATCTAACCTACAGTATGGTGTTTTCCTTACTATGGGTATGGGCAAGTCATGATTTTTGAAAATCTAATGGTCCAAAATTGTCATGCACAAACCAAATGTACTTCAAAATGACTTCCAAATAACTCACAAAATGTCAAAACAGCTCAGGATTGACTTTATTTTTGATGCGGGCTAAATTGATTGAGGTAATGACATTCTGGTGACCAAATTGGATGAGCTGGGGTAGTTTGAATAACTCGCTGAAATTACTGAAGTTATGGAAGCTAGCAATGCTACCATGTGTGTCCTGTAGAGATCACATTGGTAAGTATGTGTATTTAATGGAATACTTCACTAATTAATTTTAAGGTTTTGGTGCATCTTATATAGCTTTCCATATCTTGTATAAATTCAAATATAAAATAGAATGAACTTTTCTTCATTGTAAAATTTGATATACCTAAAAACAGCATGAGTCTTGCAAGTATTTATTTTTATAAGCATATTAAAACATCCTTTTACTATGGCCATGTGTGTGTTAGCATATCCTGAACCTTCTCAATTTGTATTGTTTGTATAATCCATGTTAAATGCCTACCTTTCAGGGGCAGGAAACTTTGAAGTCCAAAATAGCTTTATGCTTTTCATACTTGTGGAAACAAGTATATCATAACTTTTGGCTGCTTGTGTATGAAGGCACCATTTTTGACTAAACTACTTAACATCAGTGCCTAGCTGGGAACCAACCATACAGTAAAGATTAAATAACATGTTAAGTTTGTCTGTACAGTAATCTTTTATAGTTTCATGTTCTTGTGGAAAAGGTTTTTAAATCTACAGTACCAAGAGATTAATAAAACTGCATAGCAATACCTAAGGTTTTTCAGGATAGATAATCCTATCTAGCATTGATCTAGCATTCATCTTCTATTAAATGTCAGACCATTACTTCAAATAATTGATAACTGCTTTGCTTTTTTGCATTGACCTTGATGTGCATCTATTGCAAACATCTCCCCTATGTTTTTGAACTTGGGATGAATGTCAAGTGATGCTGATGTCTTGCCTGATTTTCTGGCAGGGAATATTGGAAGCTGCATGTACCAAAGATTTATGCCCCTGATGAGAGCACCAACTTTCTGCATATCACCTATGATGATGAAAGTACACAGAAACTGCTCTTTGATACCCTGAAGCAGTTTATATGCATTGACAACCCAGCAGAAGTTCTGAAGGTATGTGCCTCGGTATACATCTTCATAGAGTAAAGCTGAATACCTGCTTGGTATGGATTATATTTTTCAATCATTTGAAATGTGCTGAACCAACTTCCTCAAGCTCTTGACCAGACAGATCTCTCTTCATAGTGCTTGGAATACACCAATACTGCTGTATTGCTGTACATGCCAAGTTGATTTGTTATTGCAGTATTTTTATAAATATTTCAATGCTGCTTTGTTGAACATTTTTGTACAGGCCTTATTACCAAACATGCCTGCATTAAGCATGGAGACAACTCTTGGCTCCCATTGGTCATTTGAATGCTGGCTTTTTGGGCATGCAGTCACACAGCTGCTGTGCCCCCAGCACCTGAAGGAGCTGACCACGCCAGCAGCTCTCTGCGGCAAGGTGTTCCGCATGGGCGAGGCCACATACAGCTGTCGGGACTGTGGCCAGGACCCCACCTGTGTCCTCTGCCGGGACTGCTTCAAGGCATCTGCCCATCAACAGCACAGGCAAGCATCACCCCAGACCTAGTTGTTGTTGTTGTTGTTGTTTTTTTTTTCTCTCTCTCTCTCTCGTCATCTCTCTCTCTCTCTCTCTCTCGCTCTCATCTCTCTCTCTCTTCTCTCTCTCTCTACTCTCTCTCTCTCTCTCTCCGTCTCTCT